AAGAGCAGGTTTTGTGGCAGGGAGGGTACACAGGGACATGGGGAGAATGACTTGGAAGAATGGGAGTGTGAAGGGGGAAAAAAACCTTTTCACTTTTGAATGAAACTTGTCTTTTCAACTCGCCATACAGGCATTGAGGCAGCAGGGGTACCTTTCCTCAGGGGTGTGAAATAGGATGAGAGCAGCTGAGGAGAAGCAAGTCTCTGGGAGAGTTATGGTTAGATTAATTGGTAGATGTTAGTAAACACAGTGTAGCATTCTTGACATGGGGGGAGGTCTGACATGTCCTAAGGAAAAAGGGCAGATAGTTTGTTAAAAGCGATACTAGTGCAATTCCTGTTATCAGAAGAGCACTCTTCTCCTTGTGAACTGACTGCTTCCTCAAACAGGCAACTTCTCTCGTCATGAGACAGGGCTGAGACAAGGTTGTTTTTGTTAGATACTTACAAGCTATCCCCGTGTTGTTGTTTGCTGAAAGTGGTCATTTGAGTTCATGTTGTTCAACAATTGTTGACGTGAGGACTATCAGAGACAAAGCACTGTATTCTCGAAATCAGGAAACTGTGTCCCTGGTCTAACACATCTGTCCTATTTGGCAAAGTTTGGTGTAACGTTTTAAAGGAGTTTAAGTCAGGTGTTAGAGTGGAGGTCTAATTCAGTAGGTGCAGCATTAAAAAAAAGTTGCTAGGGTTGCCAGCTTTCCCTGTTCAGGGTTAAAAATTAACTTTAGCTCATGAAGTTCTTATCATGCCACTTGTATACTCATATCTGTTGCTTAGTTTTGATCTTTTTCTAAGAGGAGTTTTCAAATACAAGGAATAAGGAGGGAATGCAGGCCAGTTGTACATAGAATAGGGAAGTTTGCCCAAAGATTATACAAAACTTTGCTGATTCTTTTGTGTCAGCCTCCACTGTCAGGTTAGGGGTGCAAGCAGTATTTTGTGAATGTCGTGAGTTTGTATTCTTATGCTGTAAAATGCAAATATCCCTAGAGCACGAGGGCCTCCCCACAAAAGGGCTTTACTGTAAGGAATCCCTAACTATAAACATGCTACTTTTCTGCCAGGCATTTGCAAAATATGTGAATGTTTTTAGGCACTTCATCTCCTTACTCTATTTTGCTATGCTATGATACTCTGTTAATTTTTTTTTCTGGACACATATTTTCTGCAAGATGTGCTTTATTACTAAATATTTATATGCCCGAACATTTCAAAACAAGATTTGTGTGTATGAGTGTGTGGGAAATCCAGCATAGGATTGCAGCATGGTCTCCTGTTTGAAGTACTAAAAGAAATAAAAAATATTCCTCCAAAAACATATTTTTGTAATTGAAATATGAAAGTTTGTTGGTGTAGAAAATGAAGGGGGAAGATGAATTTAGCAAGAAAATTTCCATTCTTGGAAAGGACCCAAGCTTCAAAACTCTGAGTGGAAACCTTACCTGATATTCAGGCTGTGTCTGCCTTTTGGTTTTTAATTGTCCTATTTAATGTAGTCCAGTGTGCATTTTTATCAGTCATGTATCTTTATATGCAGTATTAAAGCGCAAAGAGTTAAGTTCCCTAATAAAAGCGTGTGTGTGTGCCTTTCTTTTTTGCAATTCACCTCAGACCCTTGTTTCCAGCAAACAGTTCTGTAGCTTTATGGATGTCCAGCTTTATGTACCTGCATGATACAAAATGAGAAAAGCTAGCAGCACAGCTGCAGTAAATTCCACTGGGACTGTTATGTTTCCTGCAACAACAAAGTATGAAGTACTTTTTCCTGACAGTTACTGGAATGAAATTATTTGACTCAATCAGTGGTGTTACAGTCGTAAGAGGTAGAGACTTCCTTTTCCCAGTTCTTCCTTCATCTTTGCTGTGAGGTTTGTGTTACGTTATTTTTTGTCAGTGTGTCTTGTAGCCAACTGTATGACCAGGTAGGTCATTTTTTCCACACACTTTCCAAAAGTGTGCTTTGCAGCTATCAGTCAGTATCTGCTTTTATAGGACAAATCATGTTCACATTACACAAGGGTATAACACAGTTAAAATTGTTATGTCTCATGAATGTAGGATTTGGCTCAGTATCCTCACTTGCATGTTTTGTTTCATATAGTGTTAGAACAGGTATAGAGTTGCAGGCACCAAATTATTAAAGGTCTTGTGATACCAATGGGGGCCATGTAATGAAATGCCCTGGTTTGGAATGTCTAGGCCAGAGTAGTTATGTTAGCGTGAAATATTTCCATAAGCAGTAGAAAGTAGTGGACCTTGATTTCCAATAAATTTGTCTTGCAGATCCGATTTCCTTTTTAACTGAATTATACCAAGTCTGCAGTGTGAGCTCTGCTCTTAGTGTATGCTGAAAATACACTTGAGTGGGGAGTGGATTCTGTGGTATCAGGCTATAACGGAGGTCTCACTGCAGCCTTTTTATCAATGAAGAGAAACTCTACTTACGGACTTCCTCCCAGCTTCCTGTTCTCACTGCACATGGAGGAATGTAGTATTTTGAAGACCTCTACATTCTGTCAAGGTTGGCCAAAATTGAACAATGAAGTAAAAAAAATGTAGCTACTGGGGATGCAGACATGCCTCCAGTAATACAAAGAGAAATTTTCTGAAAACAGATTAAAAGTAGGTCATTGTAGCTACTGCACTGACGATGTAATTACAGTCATTAAATTTTGTTTACTGTTTTGTACGTCGCTCACTCCCCTTCAGGTAAATCTTTTCTTGTGAGTGGGCTGTTTCCTTTCTGCTTCTTTCTTTAATCTCCAGGATATCCTCCTCTGTAAAGAAGATTGTCACCCCCACACTAGTATTTATTCCAGCAGGAAAGGGAGCAGCCACCTTCAGACATAGCAGGCACAGCCCAAGAGTGCGAGGAGGGACTGATGACGTGCCCTATCTCGCCTCCTCTGCTGTAATCTGTACCAGGTCCTTAGTGTAATGCACAGATGTCATTGCAGCTCTGCAGTTTTGTGCAAGTTAATGCCATCGGCCTTCGTCAAATGCTGTTATATAAGAGGTAACAATGCATTGTCTAAAAAGCTTTTGACCCACAGCAGGTCAGTCGTGCCTGACACATGTATCATGCTGTTTTCCCACAGCCAATATTTACAGGTGTACATAATAGGATAGGAAATGCTGGAGGAACAGGAGTGCTCTAAAGAATTCTGGGCAAAATGTTCTGTGGTCAGGAAGGACTAGAGCAGCTGTTTACAGAAACCTTGGAAAACCAGTTAAGGTACATTGTAAGCTTTCTTTGCTGTAGAAAGTAAGAGCACTGCACCTTTCTGTGGGATGGACTGTGTTTTCTAATAACACCTCTGAAGGACCACGGAGGGGAGAAGTACCTTTCTCCCCATTTTGCACAGGAGCAGACAGGTAGAAAAAGTTTCATCACATTCTCCTTGTGCAGTAGCCCAGGTCGAAAGATCCCCTTCACCTCTGGGAAGAGAAGGGACTAAATGCATGTATCATGGGCAGGAGCTGATGCAAGGAAGGGGAAAGCTGTGAGACCTTGCTCCCTGTACTGAGGAAAGGGGTTTCTGGGAGCAGACAGAGGAGTGGGCTGTGCAACTACATGCCTCCAGCTGAGTTGTGGTCTCTGTTCAGGGTTCCCACATTCTGCCTATCCCGACAGGGACAAAGAAGTATGTCTTGGGCTTCTTTGGCACAACAGGATCAACCCATTGGGAACATGCTGCCTTCCCTTGCACTTTGCTGCTGAACTGTTGTGCACACAGTAGTCATTTATCTGTGACTTCTGGGCAAACACACTAACTTAGTGCTAGTGGGGCTGCGGCAACTCTAAACCACCTTAATCCTCCCCCAATAAATACCTGCTTGGGCAGTCTGCCGGGAATTAGCACTTGACAAGGTCCTGTGCTGCACCTGTTTGCTGTAGGGTGCCCCATGTCCTGCTCCCCGTTGGCTGTTGCAAAATAAGGGCTCAACTCCCAACTGCCTTCTCTTCCAGGCTCTCTGTACGTGCCTGCAGTTGGCCTGTTCACTGTTTTCCTGGCGTGCTTCTTGCATAGTCTTTGTGCCTCTGGAGCCTTGAATTGGAGCCTGTTCCGGCCTTTGGGAAGGACAGGCAGGATCCCCTTGTTGGTCCTTGCTCACTTTGTGTAAGGAAAAGCATTTGGTTTGGCCATATATTTTGGCTTAGTAAATTCCCTGTGCAGTTTCTATGTAGCTTTTTTTGAACAATTGTTCTCAGGTTAGATTCAAAGTTTGGGTCTCCAGGCATGGTTGTTTTAGTAAAGTGTTTGAGGCTTTTAATTAATTTTAATTAAGGAAAGGTTTTTACAAGTACTAGGTATAACTCACTTGTCATTTTTCTAAGCAAGGGTTGTGGTGCAAGGTATATTTATCCATCCAGGGATGCTGGAACAGCTTAAATAAAGTGGTGTCCTCTTACATGTGTTGGGAACAGTGGGTTCTGAGGAGGGGATGAGAGATGTTTCTTGTTCTAAAACCAGTCCCCAGTACTAAATCTTTTAGTAGCTCTTATGAGTTAAAAATACGTTCCAGTGCTAGAAAATCAAACATGCATAAATTTTTGACTCCTTGGCCCGTGCCTAGTCTGTGTGTTGAAAGTCTCCCTGAAATGGAAAAGTCGTATCTTTTTACTTTGCAGCCTGTAGGGAAGACCTGGCAGAGAGTTTGGGGAGGGGAAGTCCCGTGTCATCAGAACCTCCCTCAGAGTCACAAGATGAATTGCACGAAATGCCAACCTGACCTGGGCTGTAAGACTAACTGTGTTGTAATTCCAGCAAGAGAAAGTTGCTCTCTGAGGTTTGCTCAGTAGTTTTGAAAGATATAACTGAAGAAATAACTGAATTGGAAAGTGAAATCCAGAAGGAAATATAAATGAGGTTGCTGGAAAAGAGTTGACCTTATGGGAATTCATTACTAAACAGGATCTAAAATGCCAAAGTACCTCTCTTCTGCTCATTTGAGATGATTAAGACTTTAATTTTATTTTTGACTTTTATAGAATTGCAGGTGTCACAGAGAAGAATAATCTTCATCAGCCCAGTGGTCATCAAGGACATGAACACTGCTGGTTTTATCTAGATGGATGAAAAGGTTAACAGCCCAGAAGGGGAGCTCCTTTGGTTTTCAAGATGGCAGCTACTACTGGTGAAAGCCAACTGCAGAGGATTATTAGAGACTTGCAAGGTACAGTGCCATGCTGACAGATTCATTTTGTAGGCTGCACTGCGTCTTCCATCTTTTAGATAACAGAGAGTAGGAATTGTGTTTTCAGTTGTGTAACACTTGTGCAGCAATTGTAGCAACACAGTTCAAGATGTGTGATGTGCTCAGTAGAGATGTGACTGATGTTTTTTATGAGAGATGTTCTGTACCTTCTGCAGGATCCTAAATTCTTAAATCCTGCAAATTTAAACACACAAGATGAGAAATGATTTTTACAATTAAAAATAAAATTGTCTGTGGGGTATGCATTGTGAGCTAGGACTTTCTTGGCATGAATAGAGCTATGCTGTTACAAGACTTCATGTGAGATAAGCAGAAGGCCTGATTTTTAAACCCTCCCTCGATGGGAAACTGGTGTGGAGTTGCTGCTAATGTCGAGAGGGAAAAAAAACAGGAGGCCAAACCAAATTGGGAATGGACACCCAGAGGAAGAGTGCTGGAGAATTGGATCTGCTGTTCTTGCTGCAGTGGAACATGCTTGCTGTGCACCTAAATTGTCTTCCACTAGCGGAAGCCAACCTCATTTTCCAGAGCTCTGTTGCAGGCAAAATTGGCAGCAGATTCATAACCATCTTCCTGCTCTGTCTATCCTAATCAGCTGCCTATACCAAGATGCAGACATTTTTCCTTTTAATTTTTATTAAATATAAGGTGTAATATCTGCCAAAGCTGGTGTCACCGTTTAAGGCTGTGCCGGCTCTTAAATCTAGATCTTCCTGTAACATAAAAAAGATCTATGTACCTGCTAACAAGAAGAAATTTTAATTTGCAAAGGGGATTGAATGGGACTGGGAGCTAAGGCTCACTCAGGCACCTGAAATAAGTACAAAACCAAGTGGAAAGCAAGCTCAAAATCGGTAATTTCTGATGCTGAGAAATAAACCCTTTTGGGGCCAGAGTGTCCAGGGAGACAACAGAGTTTGCTTTGGCTTGACATTTCCTCACCCGCTATGGGTGTAGGTTTTAGGGAAGACGAGTTGCGGTGTGCTTATTTTTATGTAAATTATTTTTCCCATTTGTGTTTGTAACGAGCACAAGCTGAACCTTCCTGAATAAAGCATGCAGAAGATAAATGTGCTGACTGAATGATTGTTCTGGTGTTACTGATCCCATTTAGCAGATTACATGCTTTGTCCTTTCTAATCAGAATTCTGTTTGTCCTGTGGCAATATCTTAATGTGCACATGAGACAGCAAAAAGTTATTTCTCTTTCCTCTGCTGAAGAACCAGTTAGCAATTGTCTGTTACCAGTTTTTGCTAAGTGTCAGAAGGAGGTTTTGCTCTTTTTAAGAAGAGGAAATAGTCCGTACAACAGATTGACATAACTTGAGCTCTATTTTTTTTATAGATGGTCTTAAATTGCAAGCATATCAATAAGTTTTTTGCATTGCTGTTAAGACATTTTGACTGAAAGAAACTGAATACACATGCATAATGTCCAGGCAGAAATCCCATTTATTTAGTTGTTTATAGATTCAGTGCTATATGTCTCTTGCATTAGTTAACCATTTTGGTGTCTTGTTTTAAAGATGCTGTGACTGAATTAAGTAAAGAGTTTAAAGAAGGAGGGGAACCAATCACAGATGACAGTGTCAACTTGCAAAAATTCTCCTACAAGCTTGAATACCTTCTACAGGTGAGAAGTGTTGTGTGTCATTTGTAATCCACCATCAAATCTAGGCCTTGTTTTCTCTTATGGAGTCTTCAGTATGTGGGGTTTAACTCAAATAATGATAAATACCCAATTGAGTCTCTCTCTTTTTTTTTTTTTCTTTTTTTTTTTTTTCCTAGTAAGAAGACTGAAATGTATGCTGTTTATTTTACTTATTTCAAGTGAAAGTAAATATATGTAATCAAAAGGCAGTGCTGGCAGTTTGATTGAAGAATGTAAGGCATTCTTTTATTGATCTGAAAGATTTGAGCTTGATTTTAAAGATATATCCTGCTAAATTGTCTTGGAAAAACTGTGGTAATGAGATCTTGACCACATTTTAATGCAAAACAAATACTAGTAAGCTGTTCACAGTGCAAATATAGTGGTGTGAGGAACTTACAGAATTTTAGCAATTTCACTTTGAAAATACATTTTTATTGTATGGAAGGCTTAATGCAAAAGGTTGATCTTTAATCTGGAATGCTGCTTTTTGTCCATCCTCAAAATTTAAGTAAAAGGGGACACTGCTGGGCAAACCAAAATTCAGTTTGCATAGTTTTGTGTCTATGTATACTGTAATCATGTCACTGGTTGCCACAAAGACGTGCTAATCTAGCCTTAATCTAGGCAAGGGAGTTTTAACTGGGTTGCAGAGGCTTCAGCAGAAGCTGAAGAATCCTTTGAGATTAGAATGGTCCAAACTACAGTCCATACCTTCGCTGCACTGCTGCTCTGAACATGATTTAGCTAGAGCAGGTTTTTCTGGTACATATCTGCATGCTATTGCCACACTTGATTCCAGGTCTCTCAGCAAGTGGTTGGTTGTTCATTGTTCTTGAATAGCTGCTGAATCTGCTGCAAATCTTTTTTTTTGGCAGTTTTGAATAGATATCTGTATTTTAACTAGACCCAGAACATTATTATCTGTTACTGTCTGTAAAGTAGCTTTTGTAACTGCTGGATTGCATCAATGCAGTGCAATGTCTCTTTCTTTTGTGAATACATTGGCTAAAACTAAGAGGCGTCATGAAAACACATGTTGCTAGGAGAGGAACAGAATTCCAAGTAGCTATATATATTTATATTTGACTTTTTCTCATTGCATTTTGTTTTCCTTGTTTAAGTTTGACCAGAAAGAAAAAAACACATTGCTGGGGAACAGAAAAGACTACTGGGATTATTTCTGCGACTGTCTGGCAAAAGTCAAAGGAGCCAATGATGGAATTCGCTTTGTCAAGTCTATTACAGAAGTAAGTGTATCAGTTAAGCATCATAATATGTGGGTTTTGTTTTGGTATGTCTTTTTAGAGAGCAGTAGAAACCAAAAGAAAATACACCACTTTTAACATATGGAAAAAAAAAGTTGGGAATTCTTATGCAAAATATAAAAATGCAAGGTTACCCTTTTTACTAGGGCACTAAATTATATAGGATTAGATAGCCTCAGTCTTACTTATTTTGAAGACCACTTACACAAGTGAATGGTCCTGTTTGTCTCTGGCTGTGCCCTGCCTTTTCATAAACTTAGTGCCATTTTCTCTAAAAGGGAATGAAAAATTAAGTCAAGAGTAGAGCCTGCCATCTTTAGTACAGCTTACAGCAGGTCTTGGCTCTAGGTCCAAGAGGGAAGATTTACTATATTTGACATTTTTTAAGACATTTTCAACTGGTCAGTAGAGTTGAGGAGCAATGACTGAGAGCAGTGTTTCATCTTCTGTCTCAACTTTTTTCCTCTGTGTCAAATGGCATGATGTAATGGCTTGGGATGGCTGTCATTATTCCCTTGAGAAAGGTGTCATGAACAGGACAAAAAGCTTTATTTTTATTAGATATAGTAATAAAAGTTTAATCTTATAACAGCCATGTTATGTGTTCAGCTCAATGAATGGGTGAAATGAGTGCTGTGAGAAGCTTTCTGTGCTGATCCTGAGTCTTTAGAATCACTTGAAGAAGAGCTTCCCTTGTGGGTAAAAGAGGTGGTAGTGTGGTGGTGCTGGCCAGAATTGTTCTGATGCTCAGTTCTGTTATCTGTGAGCAGTGCTAACTTGTATTGGCAAGTTACTGCTTAAAGCAGATTTCCTCATTCTCTTAGCAATTCCTCCACAGCAGCTCTAGGTAATGTTCTTTTGAGGCATCTGAAAGAGAGCCATGATACGCTAGAAGAGGCAGGCTCTGTGTTCCCTACCTCACTTTCTTCTCTCAGCAACTTAGGCAATATTGAATTTTGCTATTCAAAGGCGAACAAGTTGTTTTACCACTGGGAAGAGAAACAGGGGAAAGCCATGGAAATTGGATTTGACTTTCCAACTACTTCCAGGAAGACGAGCAGTAAGGACAGTGACTGCTGCTGCAGAAAAGGTCCTCTGACTGTAGATACTGGCTCCTAAATTCTCAGCAGCAGTAGCCAATCTGATTTCTCTGCAAAGGTGACTGTGCTGTAGCCTTCAACAGTCTGTTGCCTACGGTATCATCTACATATTAGCACATGTAAAGGCTGCTCTCCTTTTTCCTCCTTCTTCAGTACCTCTGGCTGCTTAATGGTTAGCATGATAACAGAAATTATTGTTTGGAAGAGGGTATTTTCTGTTTCAATTTATGTGCAGCCATAGAAATTAGCTTGTGGAAGACTTCTTTTAACTTTATTAGCTTGTGGTTTAGGAATATGAACTCTAAAAAAATCAGTCAGCTGTTTCAGATAACTGAGCTGGCAGACTCAGGTCCAGAAATGAAATGACAGATGACAGACAAACATGTTGGTTATTCCTTTTCATTACAAGGAAATCGGCAGCCAATTTTTGAACCTGGATGGATAGAACATAAAGGTTTCCAGATGTCATTTATTTGCTCACTGAACAGTACTTTTTAACTTTCAAAGATGGAAATGAACAAAGAGGAAAGAGTAATGGCAGTTGCTTTTTAAGAATGATCAAACATTTAACAGCGTAATGCCTCCTCTCCTGCTTTGCCTGCAGCACTTCTAATATTAGGGTGCGTGATATGCTGGAGGCGCGGAGCAGGGAAGCAAATAGGAATACCCTGGAAACTGCCCATCTCTTAATTAAACAGAGAGCCTTGCCCTTGATGGTGTTAGGTGTGCAGTGAGTTCTGGTCATTCCCCTTTCAAAAGGTGGTTACACTGAATACACATCTTCCCAAGTCTTTACAGCCATACATTGCACCTTAGCTACAGTGTTTACCGTCAGCACGTAAACACTGACAGTACCAGACACTGCCTGCCTCCCTGAATTCTAGCAGGCCTCTAGCAGGAGGTGGCATGGTTTTGCTTCCTAGACAAATAGTCTTTGGCTACTTGTAGCTGCATATATGTAAATATTTTCCTCTACTTCTCATCACATACATTTGTTCTAGTATCTCCATGCTTAAAAAAGGCATTGCAATTTAAACTGATAAACCAATGGGAGTAAGGATAGGATTAATTCAGTGGCTTCCAATGGGTTTTTTTACTATTCTTAAGATATTCGCTAAATACGACTAGTTAGGAAAAACACTTGTAAAACACTTCTGTGCCAAGGGCAGGAATAGCATCTCCCTGAAGAAATATTCAGGCATCTACAGGGTGAATGAGGGTGAAAACTAGTTGGCAAATTAAATTTGCTGTTTCTAGGATACTTAACCTTTGGGGACCATGTTATTTCACACTTTGTGTCCTATAGCATTTGAAACAAAAAGCAGTAAAAGGTGTCACTTCCTTTGCTCCACATTTCATCATTCCATTCATAAGGAACATTTCTCTGTGTGTATATATATATATATATAGTGGATTACTGAGATAGTGAGGAACCTGTGTCTTACTTGAGCACAGAAGCCCATTAACAGCAAAACCAAGGAAACTGAGAGTTATGGTATTGCTCTCGCTTCACCACAGTGGAATACTGATCAGAAGGACAGAAAGCTTGTGTGGCCTTTGGACCTTCTTTCACACTAATTTTTCAAGCAAAATTTACAGTAACCTACTAACTTGTATCTCAGCCTTCTAATATTTTCCTTGGCCTCCATTTTTAAATCATGAATATATTTGGTTTGTTAGTTGGATGAGCAGTTTGGTTAGGAGCATGGCTGGCTGGTGAGAAATTCTTTCATCACTTTCATTTTCTGTTCCTAAATTGATTATTGATTTTGATGGAAAGGAGAAATGAAATGCTACTGTTTAGTGTTTCACTATTTTGTAAGATAGCAAATAGTTCAGATGTAAAAGACAAAACAAAACATCAATTCCCCAAGTCAGTAGCTATAACAAAATTTAGTGCTGAGTTTTGTGATCCCCCTTATGTTAATTTAACAGCTGTCTTCATAAAAAGATCCATTCATTTCGGTCATGCAGCTGCTCTTGGTCTGAAGTAAGAATTAAATTTTTATCAACTTAACGGCTAAGTATTAAGAAAGGCTTTTTGCATTGTCTGGGGTTACCGTGTCCATGGGGCTGTATATTTATACATGTGTGCATCTTTGTTCTATGACTAGATCTGCCCTAAAGCTCTTCCAGCTGTGGCCAGACACATCTTAAGTAACCTAAGCAGTCACTTCAGGCTTTGCTGAGCACATTGAGATTTTGCCTTATATTGGGAATTGTCCTTAGCATAGTCTGTACTCACGTACTCAGTATATTAGATGATTCATTGGTCCTGTGATGCCTTTTGTATTATTATAAAGTGGACAACAGCCACCTGTAGATACAAATTTGTCATTCAGAAAAGATTCTACCCAATGACAGTCTTGGGAGAAAGTATCTCTCAGTGGCAGTTCTTACTACTTCCTTTACAACTAGTGGGTTATTGTGAGTTTTTTTGTGTGTCTGTATGTAGACTGTTCTGGCAATGTCTCTACGTGATTACAGATGATATTTAGAATTTTATTTTCTTGTGCTTTCTGCCTTCCAGCTACGAACATCTCTTGGAAAAGGAAGAGCATTTCTTCGTTACTCCCTGGTTCACCAAAGGCTAGCAGACACCTTGCAGCAATGTTTTATGAACACCAAGGTGACCAGGTGAATAACAAAGTACCTTATTAACTAATGGGTGTTTGCTCAGTGTGATGAAGCAACATCACCTAGTAGCTATTGAAGGAAATAGAAAGCCTTCCAAATGGTTGGCTTAGAGAGCTGGTAATAGGATAGGAAGGATAATAGACCTTTTGGCCTGGGTCAGCGGTTCATACCTATCTTAGGCTGGTAAAGATGGAAAGTTGTTACAGTTAAACATGTGTGGAGTGGGTGGTGCTGATGCGTCTGTAAGTCGATTTCAAAGGTGACATTTTTATAAGCATTGAAAATCCTGAGTTTGATCTTCTGTGCTGTACATCATAAGAGAGGATTAATTTGGATGTTTTGCGCAAAGCCCCAGAAAGCACTTGCATGTATCTCTGGATTGTCACACAGAGGAACAGCTTGCCCCTGGCCAGGGAACACCAAAGATAGTTTGTAGTTGGTTGGAGGCGCGCTCCTAGGGCTTTTAGGAAAAAACAACTATTTGCACAGTGTATTTAACTCTTGTTGCTCCTTTCTGTTGCTCGTTTTTGATGTATTAAATGTGTGCTGTGTGATTATCCAGTGTATAGCAAATCTTTTGTCTTTACAGTGTTTTGCCCAAGCACCACAGCAAAAAATATTTTGTGCAGGGGCTCCTTTAAAGGTATTTCTGTGGAATTCATTGAAGCTGTTTAATTTCATTCACCTCAAAGGGATGGGATGTTTGTTGGTGCACCTGGTTGTTTTCAGTTTGCATTTAGAATAGCGTATCATCATTTTTCTGGGGTAGAGTGAATAATAATGATGTAGGGGTTTTTTGCAAGTGAAACTGCTGCTTCTTTTTTACTTAGGAATGAGTATTACTTCTTTTTTTGTTTGTTTTCAAGTGACTGGTACTATGCAAGAAGTCCATTTCTGAATTCCAAAATGAGTTCTGACATTGTGGGTCAACTCTATGAGCTCACTGACGTTCAGTTTGACTTGGCATCAAGAGGCTATGATTTAGATGCTGCTTGGCCAGCATTTGCTAGGTAAGATAGAATCATTTTGTCATTTTGTATTAACAGGATCATAAAATTTCTGCCTGCTACAGCATCTGTGATAGCTTCTGCTTTTGGAGGTAGGAATACTTGTGTTAGAGCATGTATACGCTTTCTCCATGTAATTACTTTATGACCAAATTCGCCTTTTTTTCCTTCAGTGTACTGTATACCAGAGATCAGAGTTGATGCTTTGTAGTGGAGTACTTCCAGTAACTGCAGTTTGGGCCCAAATCCCAAGCTATTCTTATCTTCACAGGCACAAGAAGAAATGTTCTTAGCTCCTTCTGTTTTAAGAGCTGAAATGTGTAGTGACTGAACAGCCAGGCAGTGTGCTTCATTTGCAGCAATGGTAGAGGTGACAATATGCGGTCACTGCAGCCTAAGCCCACTTCAAAGTGGGATATGACAAACTCTGCTAGGTCTGATCCAGATGTATTTGTATCAGTGGGAGTTTTCTAGGGCTGCATGCTGCCACCATCTGGTTGAGCTGCCGTCACACAGCAATACAATTTCTTAGAGCAAAGCTGCATTGGTTATTGCAGATGTGAGAAGTCATGGCTACCAACCCCATAATCTTTTATAGGTGCTTTTGATATCCCTATTTTGTCTTCCATGAACTTCAGTGGTTGTTGGCCCAGACACCAGGTGCAGTTATGTCTTTTTGTATGTGGTAGTTACAACTAGATAAATCTTACATGTAAGAGTAGAAAGACATGTATGTATGTATGTGCTTAGACTTCTCTTAGATACTGTTTCTCTGTGTGATTAACAGGAGGACACTGTCCTCGCTTGGATCTTCAGCATATTTATGGAAGCCCCCAAGTCGCAGTTCCAGCTTGAGCAGTTTGGTGAGCAATTATTTGCAGGTAAGCAGATTACAAATAAATGTTTATGTGGCATGGTAGATCTTTAATTAATGGCATAGTTCCAGAGAGCTTGGTAGTTTTATGGTGATTATGACTCTTAATATGGTAAACTACAAAAAGCATTCTTAATTAAAAGTAAAGGGAATTGCCCAGTAGCTGATTCAACTGAACATGCAAATCTTGTAGAGGCAAGAAAAAAATATATTCAGAAGACTGCCTGCAGATAGGTATATTTTCATTTATCTTTTGTGAAAACAAGCCCCATTTCCTATAAGTTGATATCTTGTAGTGCTGTGAATGCAACATACATTGCCGTGCGTTAAGAACCTGAACTTGCTGTCATTTGAGCACACCATTTAAATGCATATTTAATACTTCTTAAACTTTCTGGTTTTCCCCTTCTGTTCATTTAGGCCCAAGAGTTTCCCTCCAGCCCTGATGCAAATAGCTCACTAAATGTTGAACACCTTGAGGGTTTTGAAGAGATGCGTGTAGAACTTGACCAGGCAGAGCTGAGGCAAAGGGAACTTCAGGATCGTATTCACCAGCTAGAAATGGAAAACCAGGAGCTCCAGGCAGCTGTCAACCTTCAGAAAGAACAAGTACAGGTAGAAAAGGAGAAGAGTAATAACTACAGCAAGGAGAACTCCCGGCTGGCAAAGGTGATCACGGAGTTACAGAAGCAGTGTGAAGTCTCACACTCCACTCGGAGCACTGTTCATGACCTGCAGAAATGCCTGCAGTCACTGGAACTGAATGCAGTGGAGCAGCAGAAGGAATATTCAACAAAGCTGGAGCAGCTGGTGACCAGCAAGGAAGACTCTGCCTCGAAACTGCAGATGTTGAATCAGGAGCTGGAGGCCTCTAGGGCTTTGGTTGCTATGAAGGATATTTGCGTCGATGAGCTCAAAGCCAAGATGAGTTCCACAGAACAGAAGAACCTCAACATCCTTGAAGAAGTTGATGCTGCCTTGGAGGAAAAGGGACAGCAAGCCACAGCTCACTGTGACTCTGCCCTACCGATACAGGCACTGTTAGAGAAGCTTCAGGAGGCAGAAAAAGAAATGGCAGATATGCAAAGACTGAATGATGAAAGTGCGTCTCAACTGAAAGCAGCAAGGGAGGAGCTGCAGCTGAAAGAAGAGGCACAGAAGGAACTGGAATCCAGATACAATCACCTCACTGCTGACTCCAAAGAAGAGAGTGAAAAGGGGCTTGGGAACCTGGAAACCATGGCAAAGGAAATGGATGCCCTTCAGAAGGCCCTGACCCTGAAAGGAAAGGAGGCGGCTGAGCTCCAGACCCAGGTAATGGGATTGCTGGCTCAGGTGGGGTCACTGGAAAAAAATCTTGAGGAAGCAAGGAAAGAAAAAGAGAAACTTGAGGAGGAGTATGGTAGGAGGGAAGGAGCACTGAAGCAGGAAGCCCAGTCACAAGCAGAGCAACTTGAACTACAGGAGGGTCGCTTAGCAAAGGTGAGTCAGACTGTGCATAGCCTTGAGGAGCAAAACCAGAAACTCTTGTCTGAGAAAGAGCATCTCAGCCAGAAAGTCAAGGAGCTGGAGGAGCAGATGGAGCAGCAAAACTCTGCAGTGAGTGAAATGGGTGAGGAGAGCAGGAAGCTGAAAGCGGAGAATGCAAATTTGCAGCAGTCCAAGAAGAAGGTGGAAGAGAAGCTGAAAAATATGGAAGCTTCGAAAACTTCCCTGGAAGCCGAGGTAGCCAGGCTGAGAGCCTCTGAGAAACATCTTCAGAGTGAGATAGATGATGCCCTAGTGTCAGTTGATGAAAAAGAGAAGAAGCTCCGGGGCGAGAACAAACAGCTGGATGAAGACTTGCAGAATGCCAGGAGGCAAAGCCAAATTCTGGAGGAGAGATTAAAGGCTCTGCACTCAGATTATGAAGAACTAAAGCAAAGAGAAGATACCACCAAGGAGTCTTATGCCTCACTTGAAGGACAGCTGAAGAGTGCCAAACAGCATAGTTTACAAATGGAAAAAAGCTTAGGCACCCTGAAGAAAAGCAAAGAGTGTCTCCAGTCACAACTCACAGAGAAAGAAGGAGAACTGCAAGACATGGAGAGCCAGTGTGAGCAGCTAAGAGCAGAAGCTGAAAGACATAGGAGGAAAGCAGAGACTCTTGAGGTAGAAAAGCTCAGTGTTGAAAAGACATGCCTTCATCAGACAAAGCTTATTGAATCCCTCACATCACAAAAGGAATCAGTGGAAAAACACCAACTACAGCAGACGGCTTCTCTGGAGAAGGAGGCAAAAGAGCTGGCCTCCAGACTGACCATGAGTGAAGAGCAGTTGGAGGTCAACCGAGGTGAAGTGTCTAGGCTGCAAGCAGAAGTCCTTGACCTGCGAGTCAAGCTTCAGCAGACCAATGATGAGAGAGAGCAGATGAGAGATGAGCTGGCAATCACAGAGACTGTCTTGGGTGAGCAGAAGGCACTTGTCCAGCAGCTCAAAGAACAAAGTGAGTCACTCAACAGAAACCATGTGCAAGAACTGGTGCAATGTAAAGAAAGAGAAGAAGTGCTGAAAAAAGATCAGGAGACAGCAGCCCATCAAAAAGCTGAGCTGGAAAATAATTTGCTGAACCTGAAGGAAGAGCTATCCAAGGTTAAGCAGTACTTGGAAGTTGCTAGAATGGAAAATGAAGAAAACAAAGATCTCCTCCACAGGACCAACACGGATATGGCTGAACTTGGTATTCAGATTTGTGCCTTGACCTCTGAAAAGGTGGATGCAGAAGAGCAGTTAGCCCAGGCCACAGAAAGGCTCAAAGAACTGGAAGAACAGGCAGCAGAGCAACAGAAGAAGCTGAAGCTTGACATCTCTAATCTCAGACAGGAGAACAAGATCCTGCAAGAGAAATTAAAAGAGGCTCAGATATGTGCCGCAGCTGTCCCAAATCTGCAATTGCAGCTGGAGACAGTAAAGGAACAGGCACAGAGTGTCCAAGAAACCAGCCAAGAGGAGCTGTCTGCAATAAAATTTCAAATGAGCACAGAGATTCTAAATTATCAGACAAAATTCAAGGTAAATTAATGTAGTTATTATAGCTGAAGGAGCTGTGCAGGATTTCCCCTGCTTTACCATCTGCTGCAGAAATTACCATGTGAAATCTTAAGGTTTGTGTTGGTCAGGCTCTGAGACTACAATGCAACTAGCCTTAGCCTGGGAATCTAAAAATGTCTCTACACTCATGACCTAGGCCTATTTGAGGTAAAATAACCCTTCAGAGTTTTTTGAAGATGTATAGTGTGACCATCTGGGCACAGCGGAGAGGCCATGTGATGTGGAAAAGTCAGCCAGTAATGAAGAGGGTGATGATTTCTTATGTTGGTACTGAAGGTGACATCTTCTGTAACTATTCCCTCTGGTCACAGCTGTGATTTTTTTTCTTTTTTTGGTAGGAACGTTGCAAGACCTGTTCCCCACACCTGTAACACTACTTCTCCTTAAAACTGATTTTGGTGAAAGCAAACTTAGACCGAGACTGGATACTTTTGCAGTTAATTTGCTCATGTATTTTTGCTTTCAGCTGCTCTAGGTAGCATCTGAGAAGATCAAAGTTTTGCTTCCAGAAAAATGTGAGTCAGCCCTGTATATGTGAAACAGCACACCTAAAGGCTGAAGATTTTATTGTGTTTGTTCTGCCATTCTGAGATAATGTCTAAGACTGGCAGTTGATCAGAGGCTTATGCGACTCGTGGTATCCAGAAATCCCATGAGTTTGAGAAAATAGCATACATTAATTTATGTTTCATTTTCATAAAGACTTCTTAAACCTTAGTATGTTTTGGGCGATCTCACTCTTTTGAGCCAAAGCATTTCGCAAGTTGGCCTTCTTTTTGTTGAGAACTGTAACAGCCCATAGCAAGTAACAGTATAACACAGCTAGTCTGCCACCACAGAGGGGATTTTCCTTGAATCCATGAGTTGGGTGTCTCTTTAACTGTCTTTCATGAGCCTGACAGTGGTGCTGCATTTATCCCATACACGGCAGTAAAAGCACTCATGATTCATAATTGAGGATTTCATAAATGAAGGGGTGGCCGCTGGAGGAATGCTAACTCCTGGCTCAATCTCTCTGCTAGGCTGTCAGTGAAGAATGTGGGAAAGTAAGAGAGCAACTTGAGGAGCAGAAGCGACAACAGCATGCTGCAGAGGAAGAGATTGCAGAGTTACAAGTAGGTGCTTGAGCTGATTAAAAGACAGAGGTGTCAGCAGACATTAGTGTTACAATTGAAAAGGCAGGCAGCATTTCTGATGACTGACTGTGAGTCTGAGAATGCCCTTGAATAAGTAATAAGTACAGGTGCTGCAGACAAAATACTCGGCAGTTGAAAGTTAGCCACTGAAACAGAGATTACGGAAAGTACAAGGGCACTTTGGGTTTGTCCTGCTTTGAAAGGTAGTCAGGTTTTATGTAAGACGTGTTTATGTGTACACTGCTTAAATGAGGGTGCAGGTTTAAAAGGCATCTATCTTAGGCCCTGCATGCACACTGCACACAGCCACACATGTGGATCCACCTGTTTGCAGGCTGCAAGAGGCACTGAATCAGAGAATTGGTCTGGCTGAGAAATAACCCAGCTGAAAAAAGATAGGATTTTTGCAATGCATTTATCAAACAGTTGAGTTAGGAGGGTCGTACTGAGGTATAAGGAATCCAGAATGAAGAAAATTGAGGTGAACTTGGCAGTGCCTGCTGGCAGAAATACATACACCTTTAGATGCAGTTATGTGTGTTCCCTGAGGACTGAGAGTTTGGCAGACTTTTCTGGAGAGGCTAGCTGTGAAAGAAGTTTTTGTTTCCATTGTCCTTCATGTTCTGTATAGCTTTAGTAAACAACATTTTCCTAATTTTTATTTTTTTTTCCTTTTGAAACTTTTAGGTGGTGAAAAAACTTTTAGGGCATATTCTTTTGCCATTATCTTTGAGAGATTTTCCTTGATAAGGAGGCAAAAGCTCAACTACCATGCACTAATAAGAATTGCAGGCTTAATACTGTCTTTCTTTAGAGTCTATCCCTTATTCAGTGTGACAGAAGTAATCAGTCACTAGTACACAACTAATTAGTGTCTGCTTATACAATAATATCTTAATTGGTGGTTTGGCTTTAAGTGATTCTTTTAAAGCATTGTTTAGGTGTCTTGGTAATTGTCCTATGTTTGGTAAAGTGTTGTTTTTATAGGTAAGGAAATACAGTAATTTATTTCACTAGGCTGCAAACACGAGTTTGTCTAGAAAGCTGGATGAAGCAAGAGAGCAGCTGTCTGAATCAGAATCTGCTTGGCTGCAGAAGGAAGAGGAGGTGACGTCTCTGAGAGAACTCTTGGAAAGGTGGGAGTTTGGGTTCTTTACATAAGCCGTTAATTGTAAGCCAAGCAAGGGGCCAATAACCAAAGCATATTGAAAATTGCTGTGGTTTATGAACCACAGGGATTATATAGGGCAAATAGTGCATGGGCACTGACGGGGAGTATCAAATTGACACTTCAGATGAGAAATATGTAAATTACACAGCACACATGAATACAAGGTTTAGGTTTTACTTTATTGTTAAAGTTAGCTGATGACGTAAATTCATTGTATGTCTTCCTTTATGAAACTGAAAGACATTTTATAACCTCCTTTTACCTTATAGGTTAATCACAGAGTTAAAACACCAATATTGGCTCCTTTTTTTTCATAAAGAATGAAAAATAGGCACTTATTGACAATTTGTTTTTTTCTTTCCTCTCCATGAAGTTTCAGGGAATCAGTAAGAATTATTTGAATGGGACCACATCCTGCATGTCTTTGTCAGGTTTATTAGTTTTAAGTAACTAACAGAGGCTGTGTTTCCAAGGTCTGTAATGTGGGCCTCTGTGGTGTGGATTATTTGGCAGTCCAAAATAGATCTTAGTGAGGTGTGGGCTCACACAGAGTCTAATGCGTTAACCAAAACCTATGTATTTTTACATTTTTGTGTTGATACTATCTGTCTTTGTGGGAAGACTGATGATTCTTTGAGGGTAAGAAGGCTCTACAGAGGGATCTGGACAGGCTGGATCGATAGGCCGAAAACAACTGTATGAGATTCAACAGGATCAAGTGCCAGGTCCTGCACTTCAGTCACA